CTTTTTTTTTTCCGATTCTCTCCCCCATCCCACTGGGCAGGGGGGGAGTGAGCGAACAGCTGTGTGGTGTTTAGCTGCCTGCCAGGTTAAACCACAACACACTCCCAGTTATTAGCACTGCCCAATTCTGGTGAAAAGCACAGCTTTCTTAAATTGGGGTGTGCTTTGCCTGCTGCTGTCTCCTGCCTAACCAGCCCCTCTGTTGGCAGGGTTATTGCCAATGAGGTAGACCACTGAAATTGCACATCTTAATTTTAGATGTTATGAACATGTCATTAAAGCCATCTGGTTTGGCTTGTCTTTTGGGTAGAACTGATGGAGAAATTAGTCCTTGATGGAGACCCCCAAGGGGTAGTTTTTTTATATTGTCCCTTCTTATCTGGTGGCCCCAGTATTCATTCTGAGCTACAAAGTGGACTTTCATAGCTGAACTTCTTTTAAAATCAAAGGCCTGTATCTTCAACTTGAAGCAGAAGCACATCATTCTAGGCTAAAAGAAGTGATCTCCTCCTTGGTTTGTTACATATAGGATCACCTGGGAGACAATATAAAATGGATACAGAAATCCTCAAAATCAACTACAAAAAAAACCAAAAGGTGTTTGTAAGCGATTCTACTGATTCAACTGTAACTTAAAATTTGGAAATAAAAGCCTTTTATTTGAGCAGCCTTTCTCAAAGATATTTCACTTTACTTTTTCCAGGAATCACTGATGTGATGCCTCCACATTTTTTTTCCAGCTTAATCTATCGGGTCAAACAGTGAACAGATGAAGACGGCAGAAGAGTCTGTCTTCTTCTGCCTCCCTTCAAAGCGTGAAGTAGCTGTGGGCCTGAGTTATGAACGTTGTCCAGATCAGGGGCTGGAATAGCTTTTTTTGGCCCCATACAAAAATAATGAGATCAGTGAGACCAAGGCAAGAGGAAGCTCGGGAAACATGTCCCATTCTCACCTTGCACAAACCAGTTCCACTGCTGGCCACAGGTGGAAGAGGCAGACTTTATTTTCTTTATTTTCTTATGAATAACCCTGTCTTGCCCAGTCTTTAACTGACAGTAGCAGACTACTGGCATTTCAACCAGGAAAGCAGAATGTTAGTTCATATAATTTTTTAATTGCTTAATAATCGTGTAATTATTGGCTTGAACACCGTTGTACTTAGACACGCTGTCTTTTCTAGGTAACATTTCGGACAAGAATCTACCACTGTAACATTAACAGCCAAGGCGTCATCTGCCTGGACATTTTAAAAGACAACTGGAGCCCAGCGTTAACCATTTCTAAAGTTCTCCTCTCCATCTGCTCCCTCCTCACAGACTGCAACCCGGGTAAGATGAATTAACTTTCACATTCACGTTTGCTCACAGTTCATATTTGGTCAGCTACTAGGACGTGGCCAGTGCGCTGTTTTACTGCTACCTACTAAAAAAAGACAAAAATGTATATTTTAAATGCCAGTGATTCAAATTAAGACATAGTATAGAAAGAAAGCACAATTTCAGGAGCTCAAGTGCATTTTTAGTACTTGAGAATAAAAATCTTTTAATTCAGAAAGTCTAATCAGTAGAAAATACCTTGTAGTAGGCACTAATTTGGATATTACAACCAGGATATTAGTACCAAGAAATATTAATGAGTTAATAAATATTGAAAAGGAAAGCTTTCATTTAAACATGCTGATAATATGGTCTCTGAAAAGAATATTAATAGTACTGACAATGATAGATGTCTAACACAGACTCTACAAATAATGAAAATTAATTTAAATGAGGTTTATTCAATATCCTGGACAGCCAGTATGAGTATTCAAAGCAAGCTGTCATTCTTATTAACTAGCGTAGCACTTAACCTCTTCCCTCAGCTCTTTTAGATTTGTTTTCTGCCATTGACCACTAGATCTGTAATTTCCACTTTCTCTTACCCTATTTACCAATGAATGATTCTGACTGCAGCCTCGGAAAATCGTAGTATAGAGAAATTATTAAAGAATCATTAAAGAAAAATGAAGTGATTGTTTACAGTTGTAAAAGTGTTCAACCCTCTGTTGTGAGGGTTGTTGCTGGTTTATTTTTTACTGTACACTTCAATTGTTTTTTTAATTTGCCATCTAGTTTTTAAACCTTTAGGTTTCCTGTTTTTAAACTTTTCTCCCCAACCAAAGGGCTAAAAATTGCTTTGCAAAGAGATTCTTGTGGAATCAAGGGCTGACTAAAATGCTGTAACATAAGACTGAATTATTTCCAAGCTCAAAATAAGGTGAAAGTGGGCAAAAATGCAATTGACTGTTTTTATTTTCATGTGGCTTTGTTACTGTATGTAGCGTTAAAACCCATGGCGTTCCTTCCAGCTCAGAGCTGGAGTGGTAAAGGAGCCCTGTGTTACCATTTCAGGCACATTTATTTCAGGTGTGTTGGATGCTCTCTGCTTACGTGTCTGAAAGATTGACTTCTGCTAGTGTCTACCCCAAAATACGCAGAGGTGCCTATAGGAAGTCAGGCGGATGGATGACAGAAGTGTAAAGAAAAGCAAATGAATATTTGCTCATGTGTTGTAGAGACAAGGTAAAGAGCTAGAGACACTGCAAAGCTGTGTTGGGATTGAGAAACTGGCAATAAGTGTGTGCTCATTTGTGGTCGCCTCTCTTTGGGGGGATACAGTCAATTTGAAAGCTTGCCTCTTTCCAGTAGTGATTTGAAGTTTAGAAATTTACTGCCTCTGCCCTCTCAATCTTTTTCTTTCCCTTAGGCTATTTACAGATGCTGTCAAACAACAGTTTTAGCTGACCAAGTGTGTTAGAGGAACACTGAAAACAGTTACCCATAATATATTATCATATGCAACAAGTTAACATAATAAAAACAGGAGGTTATTCTTCCATTCAGTTTATTTCAGTTAGTAGCCATAAGCATTGTCATGACCATAGTAAATAAAACAAATTTATGACGTTTCATTTTCAAACCTTCTCTTTAATTACAAAGAAGTTTTGGATTTTGTTACTGCTTCATGTTAAAATTTTCCTATGATTTTTTGAGGAATTAATGCAATTTCTTAATTTGTATTCTGAATTGCCCTCTTAGGAAGAGCTGGTGGCAGGTAGATGTGAACTTCCGAGTCATTTTTGCCTTCCTTTGAGATTGCCTGTTTTGTGTAAGATACTTTTTTTATAATAAGTGAACTTTGAATGTTAGTGATGTACAACAGAAGGCAAGTTCTTACTTTTCAGTGTATTGCCTGATATGCTACAGCCTGTTCTGGTTGTACTGCTTTATGACATAAATTTTTTATGACATTTTATCATTAACAAATTATTGGTTCCATGCCATCCAGATTGAACATGAGAGAGAGAGAGAGAGAGAGAGAGAGAGAGAGAGAGAGAGAGAGAGAGAGAGAGAGAGAGAGAGAGAGAGAGAGAGAGAGAGAGAGAGAGAGAGAGAGAGAGAGAGAGAGAGAGAGAGAGAGATGCATCACTGATATATCTAATCACTGATATATCTATCACTGAGATACCTTATCACTGAAATATATCACATATATATGTACGTATATAGATACAGAAACATGCATATATGTATTTTCCTCTCTGTCAGCTGCGAGTAATTTTCTAATCCCTCGGTCCTCTCTTCATCTAACTAGTCTGCCACTTTCTAAAGGCAGAAACCCAACAGGGGTCTCGATTTGATAAGCAACTCTGAACTCTTTGTTCACCATTCATCAGCCAGAAGCAGATCAGGTCAAATGGAAAGGCAACACTGAATCTCCCACAAACATAAACACTTGGGATGGGCGAGTTTTCCACCCCCAGCCTCTCTGAAGGGAAAAATCAAGTATCAGTTACCCCCTAGTCGTACATTTATGCAAATCTTCATTAGAACAACAAATAGCAGTAAGAATGGCAGCTAATTAACCCTCAGTCGTACACAGTGATTAAACGGAGCCGGAGCACAGCTGCAGCTTCATTGGCAAGCGCTGCTATTCTTCTCCAGCAGGCTGAGCAAATGAAAAGAGGTATTTGCTCCTGCCGCTCCTGTCATTCACACAGTAATCTACAAAAGCCACGGAGAGAGTCTCTTTCCTCCCCGGTTATACATCACCGCCCTTTGTTCCCTATCACTCCAGGCAGGAGTGAGTTTGTCCTTTTTAAACAACTAGTAGAATCCTTTACTCATAAGCTGTCTCAGACCCTTCAGTCCTGATTATTATTAATTGTCTCTATTTTGCTTGGCAGTATCAGCCAGTAAACTGTGTTAATGAAATGTCTGAATTTTGTAACAGCTGGCTGACTTTTTCGTGGGGGGAAGGGGTGCTGTAGAGTTTGTGTATGAGTGAACATGTGTGAATTATCTGGGAGTGCGAGAGAGCCAACTGGAATGGTATCAGAGAGATGCGAGAGATGATGGGATACACTAGCATTCAATCCAGGGATTCGTATTTTTCTTTAAGGTGGTACTCTGGGGCACAGCACGCATCTTTTTCTACAAGGCAGGGCCCCAATCCTGTAAATATTTTGGCATGTGCATGAGCAACCCTACAAAACCTGATAGATACATTCATCTGCATGAAACCGAGTATGTGAGTAAGTGCTCGTAGGCTCTGTGCTTGAGCGCTGAAAATATTTACTTCCAATGTTAGCTGCTAGGGCTTGTCTACGTGGGCAGTTAGTTATTTCAGAGTAACTCCGTCTATGGACACTCCCCTCTTTGAAAATGTATTAAGTCAAGTCATGAAAAACGGTCTTACTTGGAGTAAAAGTCAACTGTACTTTAAGTATTCAAGCAGAGCCTGGGGAGTGTAAATTCCCACACTGCCTTAATCCAAAGGAGCTTTCAAGTGTGGATGGCCCCTGAGGTTTTGTATTTTTACTGAGCTTCAAGTATGAAAACAGATTAATTATTTTTATATTTAGAGCGCTGGTGATGCTGATCTGGGTTGAAATGCTTACTGTTCTCAGTTGGTCATTGCCACCTCAGCCCTGCCAAAGGTGGGGAATTTTTCCCCAGGAAAATTCTCATTTGCAAATGCTTCAGAGAAAATAAATTGAAACACCGACGAGACTGCGCTGCAACTTTTTTCTTCGCGTGGCCTCCTTTTTCACACATTCAAAGTCTGAACTTGGCTGGCCTGATTATCCCCGATGTCTGAACACTCTTAACATCGAATCATGTCTGCTTAATAACATGCTGCTAAGCCTTGATTAGGACATCAGAACAAAACCTGCTACATCTCCCTCACACCATCCTCTTCACTTCTGATGTCATCCTCCGCCTCTAGCTCCTTACCATTTTTCCGACACACAAGTTCCACAGCCAGTGGGGATTTTATCCCTCGATCATACCATTGACGTTCCTGAACCAAATGTACCATTTTATTTTATCATACCATTGACGTTCCTGAACCAAATGCTTTGGTGCTGCTCCTGCTCCTGTTCCCCGTGTGGCAGGCCATGCCTGGCTGCGAGTTCCAGCGATGGGGCTGTGCACAGTGGTGCAGAGAGAGGATATGAGGAGCAGCCTGAGGCGGGGAGCAGCCACAACATTACTTTCCCACAAATGTGCCCAGTTAGGCTGAACGCTTGGCTGGCTGCTGTAACCAAAAAAACTGCTTAGGGGCTCTACAGAGCCTCACTTGCTTTGCTCTTTAGAAACTGCTGCCAGATTTCTAGCCTGAAGCGACTCATGGGAATTTTATACCCACTTGTTTTTAAGCAACTCTTATCCTATAGCTTAAGTGACAGTTTTCCTGTTTTTCATTCCCGATGTATTAATGAAGAACCATCCTCTTTCCTCCTGGTCTTATTTGCTGCACAGTAACCAGACCTGTGTCTATTAGCCTCCTTCCGTAAGAGAGGCTTTCCGTTCCCCTGCTCGTCCTCGCAGCCCCCTCCTGCCCCTCCATCGTGCTGCAGTCATCCTTCCTCAACGTGCCTGACTCGTGTGGAGTTCATCGGGGCATTAGGCATGGCTAGACAGACTAACCCGCTCATCATCACTATCATCCAGGTTGAAATATTTACTACTCCCTGTTGGATGTCCCTGTCTCACTGGCAGCCCTGTCAAAGGTTATTTCTTTCTTAGCCCTGTCATTTTCACTGTTTGTCTGCTTTCTAACCCAATTTGGTGAAACGATGGAGAAAGGAAAAGGAAAAGAAAAAGAAAAAAAGGGAAAAGGAAAAAGAAGGAAGAGAGAGCAAAAGAAAGAAAAAGCTTTTGCTAGAAAAAGGGCATTAACCTCTGGCAAAGGAAATGCACAAACAACTGGCAGCAGTAACCACTTCACCTGGATCAGCACTGGCCAGGTTAGTTGGTCTGACTCTGCCCTCAGATACTTCGGT